GTAGTTACTAGAATGTTAATGTTGTGTTACTCATTTGTGACCCTGGACCACAAAACCAGTCACTTGGGTCAATTTTTTTAAATTGAGATTAATACATTATCTGAAAGCTGAATAAATAAGCTTTCCATTGATGTACGGTTTGTTAGGATAGGACAATATTTGGTCGAGATGCAACTATTGAACATCTGGAATCTGAGGGTGCAAAAAATTCGAAACATTGAGAAAATCGCCTTTAAAGTTGTGCATTTATGTTCAAGATTGTGCTGCATCCACTCACAAATATAAATGTTTAATATATTTATACGGTAGGAAATTTACAAAATATCTTCATGGAACATGATCTTTACTTAATATCCTAATGATTTTTGGCATAAAAGAAAAATCGATAATTTTGACCCATGTGATGTAGTGTTGGCTATTGCCACAGATATACCAGTGCAACTTATGACTGGTTTTGTCACATTTGTTCCTAGTTCTTCATTAATGAAGGAACAGTATTGTAAAGTGTTACCCATTTCTGATTGCGGACGTACAAATAAAGTAGCTTGCTACTGAAAAGGTGGTTATTTTACTCAGATCACCAATTAAACCGTAACATAAAGACATCCAATCTCTGGATTCCTGACAGTTTGCCTGTTTTAGACGTGACTTTTGGCCGTGTGGTTTTCATCTGAAGCCTCTCTCAGGATGAAAAGGTCAGAAATGGGGGAAGTTTTGTTTCAGTCGCTCACCGTGAGTCATTACAGTCCATAGATTTGCTGGCAGCTTCTCATGTGTTTAAAATACCCCTGAATACAGTCATGCCACTACAGATATGCAATCAAATGAGTGTCACGTGACACGTATATGCAACAATACAGTTGTGCAATGCAGAACTAATGAGTACGTCCTGGACTTAAAACATTCGTGACAAAGCAAACCTAGTGAGCGACCCACGTGGGGAAGCGTTTCAAGGCATTGCATGTGCACTTCTGACACAAAAAACCTGCTCTAAAAGACTATCATAATTGCTGAATAAAATACAATTTGTTGAATTATGTGTTTAATTCTCAGATGAATTTCAGGGTTAGAATAATGGCCAGTGACAGAAGAACATGTTTTCTGCTACATCTGTGGGTGTTTTAATGCATCTACACAGTTTTATTTATAAACTTGTGCTCTTGAAAAGCTCTTTGACATTAAATGTATTTGTACCACTACTGTCAAATCGATTATTCACGATTAATTGCATCTAACATAAAACTTTGTTTATATAATATATGAGTGTGTATATAATATATATATGTATAGACACCCCCCCCCACACACACACATACACATATGTGTGTGTGTGTGTGTACACACATATTATAAAAACAAACTTCTGTTAGATACGATTAATCGCGATTAATCGGTTTTGACAGCACTATTAATAATAATAATAATAATTTTTATTTATATAGCGCCTTTTCCAGGGCTCAAGGACGCTTAATTTGTATATATATATTTGAACTAATTTGTATACCTTTATATTTTAACATCTTTTTCCACTATAACTCCTCATTCTTATTTTGGGGAAAAACTGTACAGAAAGGTTTTTTTTATTTTTTTTATTTTAACTTAGGATCATCGAATTAGGTTATTATAGGCCTTTTTTTTGTGCAAATTAGTGCTGGGTAATTATACGACCATGAAATGACCAAATTCTACGGCAGCTTTGCATATATACTGTAAAACATCTTAAACTGGTCACTTACGAGGTTCGTTTCAGTTCGGATGTAGACAGCAAACCAGCTCAATTGGTTTTGTAACAGAATTTTTTATATCCTACTGGTCTTAATGTTGAGTCACTATGAAGTATGAATATAAATTGATGATGCTGATAGTCCGTGACTAACATAGCGGATATTGCACTGAACAATTCATGATCATAGAGTGGTTGAACGCTGGACTCGTTCACTTATTATTCATCTGATTGCAATAACACTGACGTCAGCGTCTTGTGCGTTTCTTAAACAACTCATTCGTTTCAAACAAAGGGAAATTTGCAGTGAATTATCTGAGACACATGGCAAAACCGGTGCGTGTTTGTGTTAAATAAACTGCAATATCTGAAGAACATAAAATGTTGTGTGCAACTCTACAGACAAATAATGGGTTGCAAACCCTTTAAATATTGCAATTTTACTTTAATATGCACACAAACAAGTTTTGCTTGGTGTCTCAAATGATGCACAGGAAATTTCCCTTAGTTTGGAACGGGAACACTTTACAATAAGGTTCATTAGTCAACATTAGTTAATATATTACTAACATGAACTGAGCAATACATTTGTGACAGTATTTATTAATCTTTGTTAATATTAGTAAATACAAATCCAGCTGTTCATGTTAGTTCACAGTGCAGTAACTAATGTTAACAAATACAACCTTTGATTTGAATAATTTATTAGTAAATGTTGAAAGTAATATTAACTAATATTAATAAATGCTGAAGAAGTATCGTTCATTCTTAGTTCATGTTAACTAATGAACCTTAAAGTGTTACAAATGAGTTCACAAAACTCACAAGATAAAAGTGAAACTGGATTTTTGTTGAGAAAAAATGACTTGTGTGTGATTGAGAAAAGTTTCTGGTAGGAGGGTATAGGCTCCTTTATGAAAAGTTCTTTCATTTCAATGCAAAATTGCTATGTTTTTTTCTTTTGAAGAAAGTATATGCCAAAATTCACAAGAGAAAACCTCTTTTGTAGCTTGTCAGAGACTAAAAGACATCAAAATATAGGAAATTACGAACCCCTGTTGTGGTAAAAAGATTTTTTTTTTTTGGTGTATATAGCTTCTGCATTTTTTATGTCTGTTTCTCAAACTTATTTTCAATGATGCAACAGGCTAGAAACTGAGATAAAAAAAAACTAACAATCAAAAACATCTTTTTGTGTGTGTTAAACTCCCTGTGAAATCTCCCTGGATGATTCACAAGACAAGTCTTCAATTTCAAGTTCTCACACACTTCATATATTTGAGTCTTTGACAAGCTACAATTAAGGTTTTCTGGGGGTTTTTAACTGACTCTGTGCTGTTTGTCAAAGTGTTGTTTTTTGGTTAATTGCATGAAAAACCAATGGGTTTTAATTTGACTCCAACACAATCGATCTAACCCTAGCCTTTCCAAAACACATCTATGTGGCGAAACTTTTTGCACGCACATTCAAGAGAAAAAGTCGCTAAATTTCAAGAAGAAATAAAGTGTTCACAGTGTTTCAATCGAGTGACGCAACAACCTGGATTCTACGAAAGCGTATTGCATTCACTTGAAGAAAAAAAAAATCCACTCTGTTTTTCTGAATTAACGAGTTAATTATCTCAGAATTAACGAGATAATTTTTCATGGAAAAAAGGTTTTTGCTCTGTTTTTCTGAATTAACGAGTTCATTATCTCAGAATTATGAGATACATTTTTCTTGAAAAACATTTTTTTCACTGAATTTCATGAATTAATGAGTTATTCATAATTTTGAGATAATTAAGTCACACACACACACACACACCTCGACACTTGGTCAGGTGGAACCGGGGATTAAACCACCAACCTTTTGGTTTGTAGACAACACTGCCGCCCCATTTATAAATAACTGGCCTTTAAAAATAAAAATCTGCCTGGGAATGGGAGTTTAACACAGCGGTGTCCTGACTTATGACCCCTGTATTTTAAGGAAGAACATTTATTTATTTACGATACATTATTCATTCACAAAGAAAATTGGTGTCCTTAAAGGTTGGATTTTTCCTCTTTTTTTTAATTAAGGCATTAAGATCAATTTCCAAAAGATCATTTTTTATTCCTCTTTTTAGTCAACTTTAGCATGGATGTGTTCACTTATGCGAAGCACTGTATATATATATATATATATATATATATATATATACATACATATATGTATGTGTGTGTGTGTGTGTGTTTTTGAGCATGAATGTGTTATTTAGGGCTGACAATTAATCCAGATGTCACAAAATGGCAAGTTACCAAACCTAACAACAAAAGCAATGCTGAAACGGTGTAAATACAGCTGGAAAACAATGAAAAATCAACCTTATTAATTATCCATGCCCCAGTGCATGATGGGAATACCAGTATTAGAAAAGTTAAGTAGGTTTTAATTAATTTTATATCGTTGATATTTAGGCTTTAATTTCTACAAGCTTGAGTTGAGTGCTAATATAGGATTTGCTTTGTTTTTTAATTATTGCCTGAACTACCTCTTTCATGTAGAAATTACATTTGTTTTTTTCTGTAGCATTTACTTCACCACAGAATCATTTGTTATCAGTGTTTATAGTACACAGTAAAAAACGTTGGGTTATTTTTTTTAACCCAACCGTTGGGATGCACGTATTTGCTCACTATGTTGGGTTCACTGTAAAAAGTGTTGAGTTCACTTAAAAAAAAAAGTGTAAACCTGTTGCTGAAGTAAATAAACTGAATGCTTAATTGAAAAAATTAAGTTATGTGAACTTATTATTATTATTTTTTTATTTAGCATGAAGTTTATTTACTTAATAATTTTAAGGCAATTTTTTTAAGTTAAGTCAACTGATCACTTTTTACAGTGCTGTTTCCAACAATGTTGGGTCATTTTTAAAATTGTTGGGTAATTTCTAGTAATAACCCGGCTGTTTGGTTAACTGTTGGGATGTTGTATGTACACTTGTGTATTTTGAATTTATGTACACAATAATGTATATAAACATTAAATTCTAGACTCCCCAATGTTTAGTTTGTAATTTTAAAATATATCTGTTGAGACATATTTATTGTTTTATATAAATGAAATCAAATTAAAATAATGTCATAAATAAAAACAAATAGTTAACCTCACTGTTGGGTTACTTTTAACCCAATGCATTGGGTTAAAATATTCCACAGTTGGGAAGGTGCTATACCACCCCATAGTTGGGTTACTCGTTGGCTTATTTTGAACCCAACATTATTAAGTGAGTAGGCTAGTGTTGATACTCACAGCTCTGGTAACGGACAGGAATCGATCGTAGCTGATTAAAACGATATTGAAGACTGACGCTGTGCACAACAGGTAGTCCATCACGAGCCACAGCTTACAGAGTCCTCGACCCAGCATCCACCGGCCCGTCAAGATGTAGGGCATGTAGACCGGGATGCAGAACGCCCCTGCAAAGAGACACATTTTACCGTATTATACGGATGTCACGTAGGCTGGTTATAATAAGGCTTGCATTAATAACCACACGCTTCTCCTGGACGGGATCTAATAGGCCCTTTAGAGCATCAATTCAAGGGATCGTGTCATGAAGGAGTCTCTTCACAATATGACCGATAAACCCGAGCCATTATCAGAAAGCCATCGAGTAGCAAAGGGAGCGCTGACTCTTTTCTGTACCTGGAAGCATCAAGAGAAAGCTCTTTCACAAAGGCATACAAAGCAGCAATCCTCGTCTTTGAAGGACGCTGAGATGTCACATCTATCGTTCTGCCAAATATACAGAGCTTTTTTCAGCTGGTTGGCATTTGAGAAGAAAAAAGCAGCGCTCGGTTGGACTCTTTTATCTAAACGGCGTGGGCTTGTTTTCAGGAAGAGTTGCGTTCTCCTCTCTCGCCAGTGAAGATATAACCAAGTTGTTGGGGTTTTTTTCAAGGGACTTCCACTGTAAAGCCTCGAGCACTATATACCGTCAAACCAACATTTATTCAGACACCTTTTCTCACATTATCACAGTTTATTCCCTATAGTTTAGAAAATGGTAATAAAACATGAAGGATATTTTGACTGGTTTTGTCCGTCCTTCTGTTAGACTCTCACACATGAATTATGTTGAATATCTGTCAGCTGTTAAATTTAACTACACAATTAGATAATACCAGATTAGCTCAACCAGTGACCAAGCAATGCTTCATGTTGTTCAGTCTGTGTGTAAAAAGAGCATTAGCAATTACAGAAAACACACTTCAGCAAAACATGATCAGCTCAAAGTGGAGGAATCATTTTTGGTCACAAATTTGTATAAATGTTACTGGTAGTCACTGTATGAAGAATATTTGGGTATAATATGTCACAGTTTACTTTAGTTTTCTAGCCTGGCTAACGTCAGACCACATTGACATTGAGACGTTGACTGGGAACCACATGTTCATTTTCTCGTATTTGAGGCGTGGTTTACGAATGCCCAGAGCCGTTTATTGGGTGCTACGAATGTCTATCAAATGCGCCTGTACGTAGCTCATAGCCAATCGTTTCAGTTATACCAGATGACGTATGTAGAGCGACAGAAATTAGACGAGGAAGAAGACGATGGGTCAGAGATTTATTTGCGTTCTAAACTACTTAGAACAATATCCAAGGCTGCATCGAAAGGTAACTTCGCGTCTGCTGCCATGTTGGATCCATCGGTATAAACAAACTGCCTCAATGTGTCGCATAGACGTCGTCATCGTCTTGCTGCTCCCTCCCCGTTCTGTGATTGGTCCCCACGCTGAGGCGAAAATCTGGTCCATGGTATCCAGACCATAGATATCCATAATAAAGGCTAGATGTCTTAAGGCGGAGTCTCTATCGCCATCACCGGCGGCCATCTTGTCACAGGCAAGCTTTCTGGCGGGCTCTGCGGTGCCTGATGTAAGATGAGTGATCAGCACGAACACAAATACTCTTATCTCGTTGAAATCTTGACGGATTTACAAACGGTTTGGTTTCTTACAAACGTTATTAACGTGGGTATAATTCTGGATGATTATTTATTGATACACTTATTATTCATAAGTGTGCAGTGTCATAACTACATCTCTGACGTTTATAACAAACCAAACCGTTTGAAAATCGGTAGAAAATTGAGCAAGTTATGGTTATTTAAAAAGTACATGCACCATTAAAACACAATGTAGAGTGAGCGAGCTGCCTGTCACAAGATGGCCGCCAGGTGCGGACGTCGACCTCCATTGGCCAGCAGCGCGGACGAGACATCTAGCCTTTATTATGGATATCTATGATCCAGACTGCCTAGCAGCGTGAATAAAATCGCGTTGCGCAAAGGCAGCATGAGGAAACCCAGGCTATTAGTTTTCAATCCTCACTTACATAAATGAACTATAGTGTCCTGCACACACTAGTAAAAAAAATCTCAAAAATGATATCTGGGGTCTGAATAGTTTTTGGCTTGCCAGTCCATGGGCAGAGCACTAATGCCTGTGAGCCACACACACACACTCGCACACACACAGAAGAAACACATCTCCAAATGAACCGCAGAGAGGATCTCGTCTCTTAATCCAAGCCAATGATTTGTGAATCTAGAACACAACAGAAGACAGGGTTCGTAACTTCGTACAAGGTGCTTAAAGTGCTTGAATTAGACTTTTTGAAATTTAAGTTCTGGAAAACCCTTGAAAAAAAGCCAAATTCATGAAGAGGTCATTGAGAAGGGCTTGAATTATCAAAAAACAATATATATGAAATCAGTGCTTAATTTTTTCGATGAAACAATATGTTCATGCAAAATTAACGCTGCAGCCCGTCTGATAAAGATCTAAAGACATTTCGCATGGCTATGAGCGTGATATTGCTCATATTAATATCCAACTATATGATCCGTCTTTCATTCTTCAGGTCAATCAAATATTAATGGAGAAAAAAATCAGTTTGAAAAAGGAAAGCGATATCTTTGTCATAGTTTCCTTTCAATGGTTAAAGTTTCCACAGTCATTGCATCTGCTGCACTTTATTCATACCATTTTGTTTTATTAGTTTATTTTTATTAATCTGTTTACCTTTTTAGATTTTGAAAGATGATAATAAAGATATTGTTTGATAAGTGAGATCTCTAATTGTAGTCCTTGAAAGTCCTGGAATTTCATTTTACAGTGTCTGTGTCTGTAAACCTAAGAAAGCATTGCAAGAACATAAACATAAATGACAATAACGCATGGACCATTGAGACGTTTGGATCTAGTTAGCTTTAGGTCAAGCATTGTGAGGGTTTCTTTGCCCAATATGATGATATTATTCAAAAACAAAGGAGACAAATGCATATTTCACACAATATTTACTTGAAAATTTACAAACAAAAAGAAAACAGAATAGAATATGTTTATATGTAGACTGGTTATCAGACCAATGCACTAATGATAGAATTACAAGCAAATAAAAATAAATAACTCAATTTAATTGCACTGTCTCTGTGGATTTGAGAGGTTTGACCTGCTGGTCTTGTGTTCCTGGCCGGAAGTGATCTTTATTTTCTTGAGAGTGGTCTAATCACTCTTTTAGCTTTCAAGACGAGGTCAGAGAAATGTGGTTTAATTAAAAATCCACACGGACTCCATTTCCTACAAATCGATGATAGCACTGCAAGCCCTCTGTGATCAGGGTTATGAATGGACATGCACTCTACAAATGACAAGAATTTACATTCATCATTTAACATCCTGACGAGTAATGACTTGCAAAACTTGGCAAGAAAGCAATGCACTATAACTAGAATAATATATTAATTGTTGATCGACCATTGAATTAAAACAGAAGTGCTAGTTTCAAAATATACAGTCAAACCAAAAATTATTCAGACACCAGATATCTTTTTTTATTTTTTTTACTAGTGTAATCAGGACACTATAGTTCATTTATGTAAGTGAGGAGAGCAAAATAAAGTAAACTGTGACATATTATACCCAAATATTCTTCATACAGTGACTACCAGTGACATTTATAAACCAGAAATGATTCCTCCACTTTGAGCTGATCATGTTTTGCTGAAGTGTGTTTTCTGTAATTGCTAATGCTCTTTTCACACACAGACTGAACAACATGAAGCATTGCTTGGTCACTGGTTTAGCTAAACTGGTATTATCTAATTGTGTAGTTAAATTTAACAGCTGACAGATATTCAACATAATTCATGTGTGAGAGTCTAACAGAAGGACGGACAAAACCAGTCAAATATCCACTGAGTTCTTGACATGTTTTATTACCATTTTCTAAACTATAGCGAATAAACTGTGATAATGTGAGAAAATGTGACTGAATAAATGTTGGTTTGATGGAGTATGGATAAAACTTAAATTTAGTAAATTTTGAGTAAATATTGTGCAAAACTAACATTTAATTTCAGCAATTTTGTGCATATCTGATTTTCTGCTATGAAATATCATTATGCACTGTAGATATCAGTGTTTGCATGCCCAGTGCATCTGTTTGATCGATCTGGCATTAGAGGAAGTCTAATCTATACAACTTGTCATTCGGGTGTTTGTCAGAGCCGATATTCCCAAACATCTCATTGGCATTTACAGTGAGCATTGATCCTATAGAAGAAAGGGGTTCGTACAGTCAAATCAACATGTATTCAGACACCTTCAACATTTCTCACATTATCACAGTTTATTCGCTATAGTTTAGAAAATGGTAATAAAACATGTCAAGAACTCAGTGGATATTTGACTGGTTTTGTCCGTCCTTCTGTTAGACTCTCACACATGAATTATGTTGAATATCTGTCAGCTGTTAAATTTAACTTCACAATTAGATAATACCAGTTTAGCTCAACCAGTGACCAAGCAATGCTTCATGTTGTTCAGTGTGTGTGTAAAAAGAGCATTAGCAATTACAGAAAACACACTTCAGCAAAACATGATCAGCTCAAAGTGGAGGAATCATTTTTGGTTTATAAATGTCACTGGTAGTCACTGTATGAAGAATATTTGGGTATAATATGTCACAGTTTAATTTATTTTGCTCTCCTCACTTACAGAAATGAACTATAGTGTCCTGATCACACTAGTAATGGGGTATTGTATATTCACATGCACAATAGCAATGCAAAAAAATAAGAATTTGAAGAATTAAATACATACCAACAAGGAAATCTGAGATAGCCAAATTAAGGAAGAAGTAATTGCATTGATTTCTGAGGCTCTTGTCCACGATGAAAGCGAGAATAACCAACGCGTTCCCGCCGACCACCACGACCACCAGGATCGTCATCAGGATCGCCAGGATAACCATCGTGATCCCGGGGAAAGGAGCCGCATCCGAGCTCACGGTCGAGTTGGAGCTGGTAGAGTTGAAACAGGTAACCATCGTCAGATCGAGGACATGTGGAGAGCCAGCAACAGGTCTGAAGTCATCATGTGAACCCGAGGACGAGTGAGGAGTTTTCATCCCTTTAGGGTCGCATTAACTTCGGCAGAAAAACATTCCCATTGGAGTCTCCAAACGCCTCATCTTCGAAGATTCCCGTGAAACGCGTGGCATGAAACGACTCTTTCCTGTGGGAAACTCCCGGAAGATGTGAAGTCGAGTCTGTGTGTTCACTTAGACTGAGTTTCTGCTATATGACATTCCCAACCGAACTGCGCGTTCCCGTCAGCCACGCACTGTTACGCACTCGCGCTTCCCTCCCGCGCGCAGATAAACATGCGAGATGTCAACTTTGCAACTTTACTTTTTGTGTGTGTGAGAGGATCTGATTGAAGTATTATATCAACAATTGCATACATTGTGCATCTGTACGAGTACAAAGACTATTGATTTATTATTTTTATACAATCATACAATGTAATATTAGGCTAGGGCTGCACGATTATGACAAAATTCATACTTGTCGATTATTAATTACGATTATCACAATTTACATTGAATGATGTTTTGAATAGCTTTATAACATTGTTTGAAGCGACTGCATGCCATATTTTATATAAAAATAAACAAGCTAAAAAAAAACACTAGTCCTGAAAAACTTGCTTTTCTATAGCATTAAGCCTCAAATGTCAAATATGCATTATTTATTTATATAAAGACACCAAACCAAAGTAAAACATATGCTTTGTATTGTAATATTATACTAAAACTAAAAATTAATACAATAGGGGGAAAACCCTTAAGATAAACTGTAAAGAAAAGAACATCTTGAGCACAGAATAATGTAAGTGGACTTTTGTTTTGTAATTGCGCCTTTGAACGATTACGTAATTGTGGCATCATCCGTAATCGCATCGCAATTACAAATTCGATTAATTGTGCAGGCTCAGTGTATTTGCTCTGCTTGAACAGCTGTTTTCCGATGAACGAATGATCTAACATTGACATGTCCTCCAGAAGCAGAACTGCACAAGGCATTATTACTTGTTTTCACAGAATCCATCTTGAATTGAGGCATTTTCGGGTCCATTGGCAGGTTAAACTTAAAATTAATTTAGATTATTTTGGCAAATTATCTTGTTTTAAGAATATTTAGACATTTTCAACAGAGAAAAGGACATTGATAAGTCAGTATTAAGTCTATTTACCCCCTTTTTTTCTCTTGTCATTGTTAAATAACCCTGCAGATCTGTTTGATTGTCTTTGGAACAAGACATTTTTGGAAAACGTATTTTGAAAATGGGTCATGGGTCGACCCTAAAAACTTTTTTGTCATTCCTGTTTTAAAATATCTAATTTTTGTGTTACACTATGAGTAAATTCTCACTAAGACTGGCTTGGAGTGATGCATTTGAAAAGCTATTGTACTGTATGTGCACTTGTGCTGTTCAGGGGTTTCAGGACCACGGACAGCAACTAATGCGGTCCACCCTTATTTTCTTCAAAACTTCCCCATATCCAGTGTTTGTGCCTCATCTATATACATTACATACTACATTACATCATACATTACATACTTAGTCTCCTTTTACGAGGCATGATTTTCTAGTCGCAAAAAGAGAAGCATTTTATTCTGGTGCCATCGTGTGTCGGGCAAAAATGACAGAATTTTTTTTTTTTTTTTTTATGAAATTAATGTACTATAGTTCAATAATGTTTTTTTTAATTTAATATTTTGTATTTTTAGGGGATTTTATGGTACTAAATTATATTTACGTTGTATTTGTAATCCATTTATTCATTCATTTTGGCTCCTGCGATGGGTGGGGACGCGTCCCATCCCTGTGCGTTGAGCCGGCCAGATGAACCAGTTGTTTCCAGTGCTGACGGTCTTGTGCCAGCTGCTCTGCACCCTCCACAGCAACTCCATGTTGTTGGAGGTCGCCCGCAAGGACGTGGAGCCATCGGGTGCGGGGTTTACCTCGTGGTCGTCTCCAGCCTGCGGCCCGAGGCCCGAGAATGGCTCTCGTCGGATGGTCAGGAGGGAGACGGAGGACATGGCCGAGCCAGCGGGTGCCACGTTGCGCAGCCAGGCTGGCTCTGGGCTGGCACGTGCGGGCTCTAAGCACTTGACTGGAAACCCGCTGGGGCCACCTGATGTTCTCGATGGTCCTGAGGGCCCTGCTATCAAAGCCATCTAATCTTGCAGTCAGTGTCTTATTTAAGGGCCAAGTCTCCGAGCCATAAAGCAGGACGGAGAGTACTGCTGAGTCGTAAATCCGGAGCTTCGTCTTGCATGAGATGGTCTGGTGCCGCCAGAGTGGTTTCCAGAGAGACTGCAGGAATGACGCAGCCAGGGCTCTTCTGCGGGTAATCTCTGGTTTTAGCTCCCTGTTGTCTGTCACTAAGGATCCCAGATACACAAAGTTCTTGACAGGCTCTACAATATCATTGCCAAGCCGCAGGGAAGTTGGATGCGGTCCGTCACCGACATACATGAACTTGTTTTTTGTCCAGCTCACCTGAAGGCCAAGCTTCTCAGCCTCTTCACTGTATATGCAGACTGATCTCATGAAATGGCGTATGTATGACACGCCAATTCGTATTTCCATTTTTGGCGTGCTATCAACGCCGTTGACTTAACGTTACATTACTGTATATATAAATATATGACCTAACCCAACCCCGTCCCTAAACCTACCCGTCACTGGGGTTAATACCATTTATGAGTCTTCCCCTACCATCCTAGGAAAAAAAATATCGCTCCCCAGATGTAGATCTACATTTTGCTTCGTTTCGCTCGGACATTTAACGGCGTGTACATCCGCGCGGAATCACTCGGACATTTAACGGTGTAGACATACACGCAAAAGATGACGTTTCGTTTCGGCGTGGACACACACGCGGATAGCTCAAAATGCGTATAGATAACACGCCACTTGACTTAAAAGTGGCGTGTATGTTTACGCAAAGTCATGATGCCATGTTGGTATATGCCCAGAGCGTCTCTCGGCTGGTTGTAGGACGTGCTGAGCAGGATGGTGTCGTCAGCGTACTCCAGGTCAGTCAGGTGGTCACTGCCGAAGGACACTCCGGGGACCCGCTCACACACCCTAGACATCAGATCAGTCAGGAGCAGCCATGCAGCCCTGGCGAACGCCACTGGAGCTGGAAAACCAGTCTGAGTCTCTACCGTTGATGCGGACACAGCTCTGAGCGTTACTATAAAGCAGCTTGAACAGGGCAACGATCTTGGGTGGTGCTCCAAGGGCGTGTAGGATACTCCACAGTGAAGAGTGGCAAACGGTGTCAAAGGCAGCCTTCAGATCTATGAACCCGATGTAAGATGGCAATCTTTACGATCTTTACCGTGTTGGGCTGTCCGGCTACTTTCTCTGATCGGTTTCGTAACAAAATAGTTTCTCCTGGGTGGGTTGTTAGCCCACCGACATGCTGGAGTCTTTGTTTGTCTGGAACCTACCCTGGAGACCGGCCCGCCTAGGGTGACCCTACCAGGAGCGAGCTCCCGACGGTATCGCTCTCCAGGGTCACTGGAACACGCAAGCCCCCTCGCCACGTCAAGGCCAGACCCGAGAGAGAGCACTTTTTGAGGATAGACCTGAAAATTTAATTTCCATATTAAACTGTGGTAAATCTTGAACGCTTTAGAGCGACAGACTGAAGTTTGATCTCTTTTCAAAGACGACACTTGGCAGATTATTGCTGACGTGAAAACAGTTTTAAAAAGTGAACTTTAAAAAAGTTACAGAATTTAATTTTATTCGATTCCAATGGGAAAAAAAAACCCCAAATGTTATTTTTTCCAGTCAAAAATGACCGAAGAGCGCCAGAGGGTAAAGTAACAGAAGAAAAACATGAATGCCTCTGCCAGCCAAACCATGACGTTAAAGCATTACAAATAAACCCCCTAATTTTTTAGTTTTAAATTGCACATTATGTTCAGTACGCCTCCTAAACACACTCACCAAGGTTAGAAACAATCCTTAATTACCCTCGCTGTCAGAGATGTGGTCTTCTCTTCCTGCGTGAGTCATTTACCCATTGACACAAAACACAACTTTAGCCCTGAGCTCCTTCTCAGCTGTGCACCAGACGATAGCAGTTTCACACACACACACACACACACACACGTCCACGACATTACTGAAATAACGGTGCATTTGTGAAATACAATAGCAGCACTGCATGGTGCAGCTCCCTCAGCCTCCATTAGTTCCAGCAGTTGTGCGATTCAATTCCTCTAAAACCCTTTTAAATGTGCCATTTTTCTTTAATTATGAAGTGCATATTAACCCCAGGGCTTTTAACCCGGGATTTCTTGTCTATAGTCCCCAACAGCGATACCAAGAGGGTCACTTGAAAGGCCGGGGAGCGATTCAAGACAAGTATGGCTTTAAAAAGTGCAGTGAAATAAATGTATAAATCATGTAAATGGATCTCGTTTATGGAGGAACCATCTTATATAAGCATCCAATTGAAATCAAGCATGGAATCAAAACACAAGAATAGCTTTGTCTTTTCAATCTTTCATTGCAGATGAATGTAAATGATCATTCTGTCAGCATTTACTAACCATCATGTCGTTCCAAAACTGTTTCCATGGAACATAACAGAAGATATTGTGAGAAATGTCTGTGTTTTTTATCCATACAGTGAAAGTCAATGGTTCCTATGTGTTATTTTGAAGAATGTTGGTAACCAAACCCATTTGGTCAGCCAAAATATGACGTTAAAGGGATAGTTCACCCAAAAATGAAAATGGTGTCAGTAATTACTGTTGTTCAACCCCGTAAGACTTTCGTTCATCTTCTGAACACAAATTAAAATATTTCTGATTAAATCTGAGAGCTGGATCACTCCTCCATAGGCTTCTTAAGGGATCGAAACTGGCCGGCACAGAAAGTTATTAAAGACATCGTTAAAATAGTCCGAGTGACTAAAGCGGCTCAACCTTAAGTTTATCAAGCGACGAGAATACTTTTTGCGCGCAAAAACCCCCAGAAATAACGACTTTATTCAACTCTTCATTTCCTTCTCTGTGGGCCTTGAATGAGTTTGCGTAGTGTAACAGCGCAGCGCTTCTGGGTTGTACGTCACACGCAGGCTCACTATTGGCCAGCATCACACGCCTCACACTAGTGAGCCTACGTGTGACGTACATTGTGTACAGAAGAACAACGAAATTTGTGTTCAGAAGATGAACGAAAGTCTTACCGGGTTGGAACAACATGAGGGAGAGTCATTACTCACACCATTTACATTTTTGGGTGAACTATCCCTTTAAAGGCACAAAATAATTTCTGTCATTTTTGAGAGCACCGGATTAAAATGCTTCTCTTTTTGCGACTAGAAAATCATGCCCCGTAAAAGGAGACTAAGTATGTAATGTATGATGTAATGTAGTATGTAATGTATATAGATGAGGCACAAACACTGGATATGGGGAAGTTTTGAAGAAAATAAGGGTGGACCGCATTAGTTGCTATCCGTGGTTCTGAAACTGCTTTATCAATGTCTTTTTCTCTGTTGAAAAACGCTTTGAACCAAAAATACCTCTATTCAAGATGGATTCTCGGAAAACAAGTACGAATGCCTTGTGCAGTTCTGCTTCTTGAGTAAATGTCAATTTGGTTTTCAACATTCTTCAAAATAACATGCTAGTGCCCCAGCCCACAGCTTTTCTTGGTAGTGAGTTGTGGTATTGAAAGGGTTAAAGCATTGATAGTCTTGTTTCAGGTTGTCATGTTGCTTATAAGCAGGGATTTCAGACATTAAAGCGTTTGGACTTGCAGCACAGAAGCAGGTGCCAGAAGAAGATAACATGGAAATGAAGCCAAGTCCCTTTTTTTAGCAATCAAGTTCTTTGTTGCTTTATTCTTGTAGTATTGGTCGTCTTCCTAAAGCCCAGAGCGGGAGCTACAACTCATTTCTATGGGGATCTGCTCTCTCACCTTGTAAAGAAGTAGGAGGGACTCTTATAAAGCAAGCCTTGTGATGTTTGATCTGAAGAGATGAAGAGCCCTGACCCTCGTTTGAACAAACAACAACGGCCGTCTCCCAAAGCCACTTCAGACCACAAAACAACATGAATTTCCATTCTGCTCCGGTCTTCCTGCTCCTCGGGGTCTCGGCGGAGAACAGCTAATGTTCTGATTTGATTTCTCCCATGATTAATATTATTCATTGATACTGTTGTCAGCCAGGACACAAAAGCGAAGAGTTTCTTATCCTCCATGCAAATTAGCCACTTTCATGCAATGCTAATGGCTCTCTCTTGAGGTTTATGTTTGGAGGGATATTATCCGGTCAAGTAGAGTCCCGAAGTTCAATATTGCATTTACTCTCACACGTCGGTTGCATCAAACGGACGATTAGCATGTCGGAGATCGACTTATAAACTACCGGAATAAACCATGGTACTTTCTAATGTATTATTTGTAGTCAAGTTTAACTCAAATTCTTGCTTGAGATGTTATAAGCCGTAATGTGATGTACAGCCAAACCAAAAGTTATTCTGCAACCAGATATACATTTTTAGATTTGTTTCACTAGTGTGTGCAGGACACTATAGTTCATTTCTGTAAGTGAGGAGAGCAAAATAAAGTAAACTGTGACATATTATACCCAAAAACTCTTCATGCAGTGACTACCAGTGACATTTATAAACCAAAAATGATTCCTCCACTTTGAGCTGATCATGTTCTGCTGAAGTGTGTTTTCAGTAATTGCTAATGCTCTTTTTACACACAGACTGAACAACATGAAGCATTGCTTGGTCACTGGTTGAGCTAAACTGGTATTATCTAATTGTGTAGTTAAATTTAACAGCTGACAGATATTCAACATAATTCATGTGTGAGAGTCTAACAGAAGGACGGACAAAACCAGTCAAATATCCACTGAGTTCTTGACATGTTTTATTACCATTTTCTAAACTATAGCGAATAAACTGTGATAATGTGAGAAATGTTGAAGCCGTCTGAAAACATGTAGGTTTGACTGTAGTTGGGCAAACTATTCTTACAGTGGAGAAAATAAAAGACATTGGTGATTTGGAGCATTCATTGGAAGCTTTGTCCAGTCAAATCTGCCAAAACAAAGCATTGCATTGTCAAGTCTGCTTTTCAATTATTTGTACCAAATATTGAAATCCAAGTCGACTTAATCCTTGCATTTCACCATAAAGTATTTATCCGTCAAACTGGCATTTAGCATGTTACAGATCTGTGCCAATGCACAGCATGGGTTTATTTCTAGCCAAATATAGTGCAGTTCCTCACTTGGGGCCAGATTCACTAACAGCTCACGCCTGAGCAAACCCTCTTTTGGCGTTAAAAAACTACTGTCAGGATTTAATTAAAGACACGCAGGGTAAAATTAGCACTGAAAAGGCGTGGAAAGGGTTATTTTTGCGGCTGATCTTATTGCATATGCATTTGTAGCAGTTTCCCTTTCAGACGCAACATTAATGTGAGGAGAGTCTTTAAATGAATCACGCAAGGTGATTTACTAAGGTTTGCGCTCATCAATGCACTGGTGTTTACGCCATTATTTACCACCCAAAAAAGCAGGTCTTAAACAAGACCCACAATGGTAGATTGTGTTGGTCATAATGGAAATGATCTGACTGCGTCTGTGTTCTTTAATTTGCATGTCGTCAGTAGATCAAGAGCTGAACTTTCCAATCACATCCTCGCTTTCATGGGATTAAAGCGCTTTTACGCTAATTTGCCCTGTTTAGTAAATCTGGCCCTTAGGATGTTAAATGTGGCCCAAAATAAAAGATGTTAGTAGAATACAGATGAGACGCCTGCGCACATGAAGTTGGTTTAGTCAATTGAAGAAGCATCAAAGCACAACATGTTTTCTTGTAGAGTTATTTGGAGAGAAGCCAAAAGTTATTTGATTCCTTGCCAGAAACTGAGTTGTCCTTTGTGGAAACAGTTTTCATATTCATTCTGGACCAAATAAAAGGCACTCGTTAATCAGGGCAAAGATGTCGTGCTAAACAGGCCCTGAGCAAGGTTTGCATTCAAGGCAAATTATCCCTTATACATAGAAAACATGTCACAGCAAAAGCATTTAGCAATGCCCCTCGAGTCGAAGCAAGCCGCTGAATCTGAAAGGCATGGGGCTGACAGTCAAAAGGTGCATTAATATTCATTGAAAGGAAATTGTAGCACACAGGGAGAGAGAGAGAGGGGGGCGATGAAAGAATAGTCCAGAGAAAAGGTAATAGATAGACACATGCATGAGGATGAAAGTGAGCAGAGTACGACTAGGGTTGTAGAGAGGAAAGAGGCCGGGATGTCAAAGACCCAAGGCTATTTAAGAGGATGATACGTGTGTGTGTCTTGGAGACACAAGAGGCAAGACTTCAAAAATCACTTGAGTACCTTTTTCTAAATGACTCATTCCCACAGAAGAATTCACCGATCGCAAACCAATCTGAGTATATTGGGCTGTGCAACCGCATCACTGGTGGTGATCCGCCAAAACACACTTCTTTTGTACGTGAAAAGTCGTTGTTTCTGGGGGGTTTTTGCGAACAGAAAGTATTCCCGTCGCTTGATAAACTTAAGGTTGAGCCACTGTCGTCACTCGGACTATTTTAACAATGTCTTTAATAACTTTTCTGGGCCGGCAAGTTTCGATCCCTTAGAAGCCTATGGAGGAGTGATCCAGCTCTCAGATTTAATCAGAAATATCTTAATTTGTGTTGCGAAGATGAACGAAAGTCTTACGGGGTTGAACAACATGAGGGAGAGTCATTACTGGGTGAACTATCCCTTTAAGACTGGAAATCATTCAGGGATGCTAGAACGCAAACCAACAAGTTTCTTTCCAAGACACGCCACCAAACCTCTCTGCAAGTGCCTCCAATTACAACTCAGTATTCATTTGGTTCTCCCGTGACCTAGCATCTGTTTATTAGGACGTCGAGCGCCAAAGCCATCAAGTTATTCTCACATGAGCTCATTAAGGACGATTAGCATGCTAGTCGTGGCGTAGAAACTCACCAGGTGGCGGTGGACTCTTGGCCTGCAAAGTTTGATTGGTAAAATAACAGCGTTCAGTATTCAGAAGGTTAAGTATGAGTGAAAACGCTGAATTGGAGAGTGTCGAGAGATTAAATAGACTGTCATAACGGACGTTTGACAATCAAACCACTTTCAGGGTGTTTTGCGTTGACATTTGGCGTAAAAAAACCGGACATGCCGGGATTACTCTCACGGAGAAAGCTTAAATTGCTTTTGTCAGGCTTTATCAAATTACATTATTAGAGCACCATTGAACTGGAGAAAGGTTCAAAGGTCGCTGATGAATGTTGGGGGTATTTATTACCTGTTTCACACTCGTTTGTCCTTGTGACTTCAGGCAACTCTCATTTGCAAATCAATTTGTGATTCATAAAAATCTTTATTCATAAGACAAAAGCACAGAGCACTTAGTGTGCCATAATTCGTAGCAACAGAGCATTAAACTCGATTGCACACACAAACCAATGTGTTTAATCCTAGACACATCACTATTATAGGAGTTCATCATGAACTGTATTAGTCTGAAACCAGTTTCCAGTCTTTATCTGGTCCGGGTTGGGTTGGGGGGGTTCACTTTGCCTTCTTGCCCTTGGACCTTTTGTTCTTCCCTCCAGCTTTGGATGTTTCCTCCTGATAGAGAAAAATAAAACATAAAAGAGAAGTAATAAAACGTGTGTGTACAAAGAAAATCTGAAATGAAACTGAGAAATCTATACCATTATAAAAAGGTTTATATTAACGTCAAAAACATTAATTTGTTTTTAATCTTAAATCTCACTAAGATGCTACATCAGTATTACAGTGTTAAAATAAGGCTCACGTCACCCATGAATGTTCAATATGAAGAGTTTAGCAACAAAAACTAGCTTTAATGCTATTATTTATTTTGGGGGGCAAAAAATCAGCATACCATTTATTTATTAGTAATTTAACTGATATTTGTTTAAATTGTTGGTAACACTTTACAATAAGGTTCATTAGTTAACATGAACTGAGAATGACTACAGCATTTATTAATCTTAGTTAATATTAATTTCAACATTCACTAATACGTAATTAAAATCAAAGGTTGTATTTGTTAACATTAGTTACTGCACTGTGAACTAACATGAACAGCTGGATTTTCATTATCTAACATTAACAAAGATTAATAAATACTGTCACAAATGTATTGCTCAGTTCATGTTAGTTAGTACATTAACTACTGTTGACTAATGAGCCTTATTGTAAAGTGTTCCCAAATATCACTTCATATGGGCATCACATAGAAAAGTGTCAGTGTAGATATCAAGTATCTGAGATTAGTTGTCTTGATGAACATCTATTTGATTAAATAATATCTAAATCATATAATCAAAGGTAATTAAATAATCAAACATTCGTGTTGAGAAGAAGTTACTTGAAGGGTCTGACATAAAAACGTGTGTGTTTTAACATGGCCAGGGGGAGAAACACCTTCACAAAAGTACAAATGTCCATGAAAAGAAACGATTTCCAGCCCGTAATCAGATCCAGTGAACACACAGAAGTTTTCAATTTCATTCATTCGAGGTATAAATTTGCGAGTACAAGGATGAAATTTTGCATTGCTGATGCAATATAAAGCAACTGTGCCACAAATAATGGCATTGTCATTTTGACCAATTCATCCTCAACATGTGCGAGCGTAAGGCTTGTCAATTTGCTCCCACTGTTTTCTTATGTAAATTGTGTCTCCAGGGACCCAATAGTGTCCAAAAGAATGAGTGTATTTTTCTGGCTCCGCACGTGACGTCTCCGGCTCCACTCAGCGATGGTGTCATTATGCATTGTATGTTAATTACTGTGGACAACACAATGATCAGGCGGCTCAAACTGTGAAGATAACACAACATTCATCCTCACACTGGAAGAACAGCGTGACGTATCCGCGCCTGACACATGCACTGCGTCAGGAAATCAATGTCCACAATCACGTGCATTACTCAGGCTGAAACTACAAATCTCTATTTTACAAGAATCACAAAGACGGATTCTTGCATTCTTTCTTGAAGACAAAATGTGGGCGATGCGATTAAGAGCTACAGTCAAACCCCAAGATTTGATCATTTTTGATATTTTTTTTTTTTTTGCTAGTGTGTGCAGGACACTATAGTTCATTTCTGTAAGTGAGGAGAGCAAAATAATGTGACATATTATACCCAAAAACTCTTCATACAGTGACTACCAGTAACATTTATAAACCAAAAATGATTCCTCCACTTTGAGCTGATCATGTTCTGCTGAAGTGTGTTTTCTGTAATTGCTAATGCTCTTTTTACACACAGACTGAACAACATGAAGCATTGCTTGGTCACTGGTTGAGCTAAACTGGTATTATCTAATTGTGTAGTTAAATTTAACAGATATTCAACATAATTCATGTGTGAGAGTCAAACAGAAGGACGGACAAAACCAGTCAAATATCCACTGAGTTCTTGACATGTTTTATTACCATTTTCTAAACTAAAGCGAATAAATGTGATAATGTGAGAAATGTTGAAGCCGTCTGAAAACATGTAGGTTTGACTGTACAGTATGCACGCGATTACGGCAGTGAGAATGAGTTTTTGAGCTTGTACAGATGAACTGATGCATTCTCTACGGTTAGTGTTGCATGGACAATTCCTCTGTTGGCTAATGCATTTTATAAGCAGTGGTTCGACTCTACATTCACTTACTGGTATAGGTCTAGAGTGGAATAACAAAACAAATCAGCCAAAAGCGCAAATTACAGTAATTAAGATTTTTATTTACAAAAGACACACTAGTCATTAATAGGCATGTTGGTCGTAATGGGCTCTCTGGTGGTGCACTGCAAACAATGCTTTTCTTCCTTAGTGTTTTTGTCTAGTTTCCAGTCCTAATATCTAAGCATTCTTAAATCAAGAAGCATTTACTAGATGAGTAAAATGGCATAAGAAATTCCATCTTGTTTTCCGATAATAACATTTTTTAAATTAAGTGAGTTTTTGCTTGAAACAAAGCAAAATGATCTGCCAATGGGGTAAGAAAAATAATCTTGTTCTCCATTTGAATTAAGATTATTTTTCTTGTTGTCCATTTGAATTAAGATGATTTTTCTTGTTGTCCATTTGAATTAAGATGATTTTTCTTACCCCGTTGGCAGATAAGTTTGCTTGTTTTAAGCAAAAACTCACTGAATTACTTTTTTTTTTTTTTATCAGAAAACAAGATAGAATTTATTATGTAATTTTATTCATCTAATGCTTTTTGATTTAAGAATGTTTAAATATCAGGACTGGAAACAAGACAAAAAATACTAAGTAAGAAAATATTTTTTTGCAGTGTTAGTTTGATGGTTCAACTAAACAACTTCTGAGGCTGTTGAGTTCGGAAACAAACTCATCCAGTCCACAATCAAAGGAATCACAGGAATCCACGGCTTAAAATAGAAGCGGAAGAAGAAAGGTGTGTTTTTTAGCTGCTTTTAACGCCAATCACCGCAATGATGTGATACCAATCTCAAAACATGGCAAAAAAAAAAAAAGGATCTTGCGCTCATGAAACGTGACGGCTTTGTTTTTTTCGGCTTGTGTTTTCCTCAGCCATGTGAGTCAAGGTTTTTGAAATGAATTCTAGCAAAATCTTAAACAATCATATCACACATGTGTGTAATTGTATGTCTGCATATAAACCGAAGCGCCCCTATTATCCGGGTAACCATAGCAGCCCCACAGCTGTGCGCGAGTCCTCATTTGCACAGAAATGAAAGAAAACAGCAAACAAATGAATCCTCAGAAGAAGTCAGGCGCATGCCGGCAAATCTCCTCAGAACTGTTTTTTGTGTGACCTTATCAGTGTGATTGTTGGATGATTGAGTGGCGGACACTCAAGAGGAGAGCTTCTCTCTTCATTAAAATTCACAGACGTAACCAAAAAATGGAATATTGAACATTTAGTACTCAAAAACGACAGAGAAAGAATATTCGAATCTCAGAAAGAAACATATACACTCACCTAAAGGATTATTAGGAACACCTGTTCAATTTCTCATTAATGCAATTATCTAATCAACCAATAGCATGGCAGTTGCTTCAATGCATTTAGGGGTGTGGTCCTGGTCAAGACAATCTCCTGAACTCCAAACTGAATGTCAGAATGAGAAAGGTGATTTAAGCAATTTTGAGCGTGGCATGGTTGTTGGTGCCAGACGGGCCGGTCTGAGTATTTCACAATCTGCTCAGTTACTGGGATTTTCACGCACAACCATTTCTAGGGTTTACAAAGAATGGTGTGAAAAGGGAAAAACATCCAGTATGCGGCAGTCCTGTGGGCGAAAATGCCTTGTTGATGCTAGAGGTCAGAGGAGAATGGGCTGACTGATTCAAGCTGATAGAAGAGCAACTTTGACTGAAATAACCACTCGTTACAACCGAGGTATGCAGCAAAGCATTTGTGAAGCCACAACACGCACAACCTTGAGGCGGATGGGCTACAACAGCAGAAGACCCCACCGGGTACCACTCATCTCCACTACAAATAGGAAAAAGAGGCTACAATTTGCAAGAGCTCACCAAAATTGGACAGTTGAAGACTGGAAAAATGTTGCCTGGTCTGATGAGTCTCGATTTCTGTTGAGACATTCAGATGGTAGAGTCAGAATTTGGCGTAAACAGAATGAGAACATGGATCTATCATGCCTTGTTACCATTGTGCAGGCTGGTGGTGGTGGTGTAATGGTGTGGGGGATGTTTTCTTGGCACACTTTAGGCCCCTTAGTGCCAATTGGGCATCGTTTAAATGCCACGGCCTACCTGAGCATTGTTTCTGACCATGTCCATCCCTTTATGGCCACCATGTACCCATCCTCTGATGGCTACTTCCAGCAGGATAATGCACAAAGCTCGAATCATTTCAAATTGGTTTCTTGAACATGACAATGAGTTCACTGTACTAAAATGGCCCCCACAGTCACCAGATCTCCACCCAATAGAGCATCTTTGGGATGTGGTGGAACAGGAGCTTCGTGCCCTGGATGTGCATCCCACAAATCTCCATCAACTGCAAGATGCTATCCTATCAATATGGGCCAACATTTCTAAAGAATGCTTTCAGCACCTTGTTGAATCAATGCCACGTAGAATTAAGGCAGTTCTGAAGGCGAAATGGGGTCAAACACAGTATTAGTATGGTGTTCCTAATAATCCTTTAGGTGAGTGTATATCAGACAGATTTATACAGGTGGAGCTGGGGAGGGTGGAGGGTTCTCTGAAAGCGCACTGCACTGCTAACCCAAATGCTGACCAAGTATATGAAGGTTGAACATGCAAACTCATTGGCTACTGATTAGGCTCGCAACGATAGTAGCGGTGTTCAGAACCAACACCGGTATCATCACTTTCCCACCGCGGCAACTCACCCCACCGTCGATTAGATTCTTTTTTTAAAATTAAATAATTTAGTTCAGTTAGAGAACAGACACTACAATTAAAAACCTGAACGTGTCTGCTTGATAAGCCGTGAGCTGAACGAGAGACGCAGCACAGATCAGCAGCAGGAGTCAGATCTCATTATTCACGAGAGTGAGGAACTGACTGACAAGACGATGGCGGAGTATTGGGTGAAAAAGCATCTATTTAAGCGAATTTGTCATTGTACTGTTTTGTAGTTGTGTTTTTCATTAAGAATAATAGGCTAATGAACTCACAATTCAAGCAATCCACCCCCAAATTGGCGCTAATTTGAAAGTGAAACTAAAATGCGCACGTGTCCACGTTCATTCCTATGGAAAAACGCTTGCTCTGCTCCGCACCATTATGAATGCACATGCGGAGACATGCGGACCGGCGCGCTCATTGTTGATATGCTGGAGCACTGTCTATGAGCAGAATGGCATCTAAGCGATTGTGGTGTTCTGTTCTTGGGTGTAATAACAAACACAGCAGTCATTTTTATGTTCCTAAATCCGAACCGCTGAAGACGCAGTGGCTGAGTTTGTTTTCGAGCAACGTCAATGCTTTTTATGTTTGCGCAAATCATTTCTCACCAGACTGCTTTATAAACGAGGGTCAGTATAAAGCTGGTTTTGCTAAGAAGCTGCTCCTGAATAAAGGATCGGTACCAACTTTTCGTGTTCCTGCTGAACCTCCAGAAGAACTGAAGTGAGTGTAACGTTTTATTAACCTAAAAATAAAATTAACGTTTTATTTTATTAAATTATTATTTTATTATTTATATTAATATTTATATTAATCTTTGCAAATCGCTTGCACGCTTCACGATGAATGCGTTTAAGGTTTACACTCAGGGTACATTACGGCATGTTTTCTATGTACGACGTTCTCAATATAATTCATAATCCCACGTCTATAATGAAAAACGCGTTATGGTTATTGTGTTATTGTGTTACAAACGGTGTACGCACAGAACAGAGAGGCAAGGTGAGGAAAACTCATTAACATTTAAAGGCATATGCACTGAAACGGCGTGCTGAAAACAGAGCTGTTTTTGACCAGGTAAAATAAGTGTTTTCTTACAATACTAATGAGAATTTTTAATTAAAGTATATTACAAACTTTTAATTTAGACCCTAAAGAATCATATTAGCTTGTACAAAAATGGCATTATATGACCCCTTTAATAATAATAATAATTCATTACATTTATATAGCGCTTTTCTTGGCACTCAAAGCGCGTTACATGGAAGGGGGAATCTCCTCAACCACCACCAATGTGCAGCTCCACCTGGATGATGCGACGGCGGCCATGTTGCGCCAGAACGCCAGCGTACTGGTGGAGAGGAGACAGAGATGAAGCCAATCAGTATATGGGGATGATTAGGAGGCCATGATGGACAGAGGCCAAGGGGCAAATTTGGCCAGGATACCGGGGTTACACCCCTACTCTTTCCAAAGACATCCTGGGATTTTTAATGACCACAGAGAGTCAGGACCTCGGTTTAACGTCTCATCCGAAGGACGGTGCTCTTTGACAGCATAGTGTCCCCATTACTACACTGGGGCGTTAGGACCCACACAGAGCACAGGGTGAGCGCCCCCTGCTGGCCTCACTAACACCTCTTCCAGCTGAAACCTGATTTTCCCAGGAGTCTCGCATCCAGTTACTGACCAGCTCAGCCCTGCTTAGCTTCAGTGGGCGACCAGTCTCGGGCTACAGGGTGATATGGCTGCTGGCAGTGTTGTCACGCGTCGATTACCCAGTGGGAAAAACAAATCCACACCGTCACATCCCTACTACTGATACAGCAGGAACCAATCAGCTGTGCCCTATAGATAACGATGCAACTGCAAACAGATTGAGTTAAGGACCTGTTATCCTGAACCATGACAGTTTCATGACAGAACTCTTCTCTTAAATGTCTGCATTGTACATATGTGTACATTAGTCTTACTGAAGTGTCTGTGTAACCCTCCTGGATGAGGATGTTCCTGGCACAGTTGTTGATGTGTTTAAAGCGGTCGGGTCCCAGCAGAATCCCACCGTACCATCGAGAGACCACCACCAGCACGTTACGCACATCCAGGATCTGTGGGACAGAATGGACAGCAAATGTGAGCGGTGTTTGCCACAGTAAAAAAACTAAATTTAATGACGCATCACTGGCTACGTTTACATGCAACCAAATAATCCATTAGTAATGGGATTGAAGGCTCAATCGGACTGAAAAGCCCTCATATAAATGCCTTAATCGATCCGATTGAGCTCGACCCAAATGACATTTCGGATTGAAAGGGGTGGTCAATACTCCCGTTTTTTCCGGGTTTCTCCCGTTTTGTTATTTCTCCCGGGAAACTCCCGTAATTTGCATGGCCCAAACTCCTTTATGAATAATCGATAATAACCAATATGTTTGTCTAATGTTGACCAGTTGCCAGATCTTGTTGCCCCCATGCAGACATGATTTGGAGATGATGAGCATATGAACCGTTGTGCCGCTGCTTATATTCATCACACAGTAAAAATGCCTAAAACCAGTCGTCTGTGGATGAGTCTGAAGCCAGCACTGGTGGCCGTCGTCCTGCTCCACTTCACAGACGCAGAGAAAGAGGATTATAGAAAGACGAGAGACACTCTTTTATACGACACTTTATTCATCAGGAAGAACGTCTCGGTTACGGATGTAACCCTCGTTCCCTGAGTAGGGAACGGAGACGTTACGTCGGATGACGGAGACTGGGGGTTTCGCCAGAAAGCCTATCATCTTCGAGTATTAAAAAACGAGCCTATGGCAATGAAATGCCATGGGTCTGCGGAATTTGCATAATGTATCTCCGCCCCACCGCGTGGGTATTTAAGGAGAGACACCTGCAACAGCAGATCATGTCTTCGCTGAGGAGCCGAGACTGAACTCAGGCGTCTACCCAGCGGTAAAGCGGAAGTGGCAGGGAGACGTAACGTCTCCGTTCCCTACTCAGGGAACGAGGGTTACATCCGTAACCGAGACATTCCCTTTCGTAGTCACTCCGAGTTACGTCGGATGACGGAGAATGGGGGTCCCCGTGTAATCACGCCACCTTCACAGCTGTCTTCCAGTGCCCTGCGAAGTCTGACCTCCCTGTCGTGATATAGGCACGGACGAAGGAGTCCTACTTAACACAGGAATACCAAGGTACACTGGGAAGCATATCTCAGGGGAGAAATGCCACAGCATGCCTACCCATAGGGAGGACTTAAGAATACACATATGGCCGAGGGGGCTTCATATGGAGGAACACTGGAGTGACCAGCCCGTGGCGTGGCAACTTTCAAGGTGGCTTGCCGAGGGAAAGACACATGCTCAAAGAGGCTTACAGTGGAAATACACATGTGGGGGTTACTCAGAGGAGGAACCATGCACACGGAGGCACCTAGCCAACGCACAGGCAATAGACACTGGCGCCAGCGTCAACAGTGCTGGAGGAACTCAGGGCTTCAGAGAGGAAGGCTACCTGAGGAAATATCGCACGTATCCAGTCCATGGATTGGAATGGCGAGCAAGCGAGACACCTAACGGCTCCCATGTTAGCTTGAAAAAGACAGTACATGGGCGGAGACTGGCTCCACTCGGAGATTGTAAAATCTGGCGAATGTGTTAGGTGTCGCCCAGCCTGCAGCTCTGCAGATGTCTGTCAGCGAGGCGCCACGCGCTAAAGCCCAAGAGGACGCCACACTCCGGGTGGAGTGGGCGGTCACACCAAGGGGGCATGGTCGACCTTGCTGCTGGTATGCCAAAGCAATGGCGTCCACTATCCAGTGGGATAACCTTTGCTTGGAGAGAGCCTTTCCCTTCAGCTTCCCACCATAACAGACAAAGAGCTGGTCTGAGGTCCTGAAACACTGCGTCCTGTCTACGTAAGCACGGAGGGCGCGTACTGGACAGAGCAGTGCCAAGGCTGGGTCTGCCTCCTCCAGGGGCAGCGCTTGCAGGTTCACCACCTGGTCCCGGAAGGGAGTGGTGGGAACCTTGGGCACATATCCAGGCCGGGGTCTCAGGATCACGTGAGAGCAGGCCGGCCCGAATTCCAGGCACGCTTCATCAACGGAGAGTGCGTGCAGATCCCCCACCCTCTTGATGGAGGCCAGTGCAACCAGGAGCGCTGTCTTCATTGACAGGAACTTAATCTCCACTGATTGCAGAGGCTCAAAGGGAGCACTCTGCAGGGCATACAAGACCACTGAGAGGTCCCAAGAGGGTACGAGAGGAGGGCGAGGAGGATTCAGTCTCCTCGCTCCTCTCAGGAACCTGATGATCAGGTCGTGCTTTCCCAGAGACTTACCTTCAACTGCATCGTGATAAGCGGCGATAGCGGCCACATACACCTTCAGGGTGGAGGAAGACAGCCTTCACTCCAGCCCGTCTTGCAGAAAGGAAAGCACGACACCGATCGAGCATCTCCTGGGGTCTTCTCGCCGAGAAGAGCACCAGTTGACGAAGAGGTTTCACTTCAACGCGTAGACGTGTCTCGTGGACAACGCTCTAGCGGAAGTGATGGTAGCCGCCACCGCAGGTGGCAGGGTACTCAAACCTGCCTCGTCCCGTCCAGGAGCTACACGTGGAGTCTCCAAAGATCGGGACGAGGGTGCCATAGGGTGCCCCGTCTCTGAGAAAGGAGGTCCTTCCTCAGAGGAATTGGCCAAGGAGGTGCTGTCGCGAGGAGTATCACCAGGTAGAACCAGGTCTTGGTGGGCCAGTATGGGGCGACCAATATGACCTGCTCCTCGTCCTCCTTGATCTTGCACAGAGTCCGTGCGAGAAGGCTCACTGGGGGAAACGCATATTTGCGTAGGCCCTGCGGCCAGCTGTGCGCCAGTGCATCCGTGCCAAGCGTGCCCTCGGACAGGGAGTAATACAGGGCGCAATGGGATGAGTCGTGGGAGGCAAACAGATATATCTGTGCGTCCCCGAACTGGTCCCATATCAGCTGGACCGACTGGGGATGGAGTCGCCATTCGCCAGAGGTTGGCCGGAGCCGTGACAGCTCGTCGGCTGCAAGGTTCCGCTCTCCTGGAATGTAAATAGCACGAAGGGACCTCAGGTGCTTCTGACTCCATAAGAGGAGGTGGCGTGCGAGTTGCGACATACGGCGAGAGCGTAGACCACCCTGATGGTTGATGTACGCTACTGTCGCGGTATTGTCCGGACGGACAAGTACGTGTTGACCCTGGAGCAGCGCGTGGAAGCGGTGCAGGGCAAGGCGTACTGCCAGCAACTCGAGGCAATTGACATGCATGAGGCGCTGGGGTCCTGTCCAGGAGCCCGCGGCTGCATGTCCATTGCACATGCGCCCCAGCCCGTGGCAGAGGCATCTGTGGAGACAACAACATGCCTGGAAACTCGTTCTAGGGGAACTCCGGCCCGTAGAAAGCTGAGGTTCCGCCACGGGGTGAAGGACTGACGGCAGGTCGGAGTTATTGGAACTCTGAGCGTACCGCGATGCCATGCCCACCTCAGGACCCGATCGCGAAGCCACAGCTGAAGCGGTCTCATATGAAGCAATCCGAGTGGCGTTGCCGTCGCTGCGGATGCCATATGCCCCAGGAGCCTCTGAAAAAGTTTCAGTGGGACCGCACTCTTGCCCTCGAACTGTCGAAGACAAGTCAGCAGTAAATGTGTGTGCGCTCGCTCGTAAGCTGCGCGGACATGGCGACAGAGTCTATCTCCATACCGAGAAAAGAGATCCTCTGCACGGGGCAAAGTTGGCTCTTCTCCCAGTTGACCCAAAGGCCCAGACGGGCTAGGTGCCGGAGCACTAGGTCTCTGTGTTCGCAAACCTGGACTCGAGAGTGAGCTAATATTAGCCAGTCGTCGAGGTAATTCAGGATGCGAACCCCGTGTTCGCGCAGGGGAACAAGGGCTGCCTCGACGACCTTCGTAAAGACGCGAGGAGACAGAGCCAACCCGAATGGGAGAACTGCGTACTGGTATGCCTGCCCCTCGAAAGCAAACCGAAGAAACGGTCTGTGTCGAGGTAAAATGGAGACATGAAAGTAGGCGTCCTTCAGGTCTATCGCTGCAAACCAATCCTGTGGCCGCACGCATTCGAAAATGCGTTTGGTCGTGAGCATCCTGAACGGCAGCCTGTGAAGGGAGCGGCTCAAGACGCGCAGATCCAGGATTGGCCGTAACCCACCGGTCTTCTTGGGGACAATGAAGTACGGGCTGTAAAACCCTGACCTCATTTCGGCTGGAGGGACAGTCTCGATTGCACCCTTCGCCAGCAGGGTGGCAACCTCCGCTCTCATGATCGGGGCATTGCCACCGACCAAAGTAAACGGACTCCCCTGAAGCGGGGAGGAGACCGTGCGAATTGGATCGCATAGCCGAGCCTGATAGTTCAGGCGACCCAGCGGGACAGGTAGGGAAGCTCTAACCAAGCTCCAAAGAACTGAACCAGCGGAAACATCCGAATGACAGACGTCCCCCCGGAGGGGCAGCGAAGCGGAGTGACCGGCCCAGGCGTGGGTGGCATAGCGGCCCGGTGCGGGGGCACGGTCATGCTCCGCGTCCTGACAGAGGAGACCAGGGAAGGACCAGCGTTCCACGGGGGTCTGCTCTGCCAGGGGTCTGGCGACAGAGGGGGACGAGAGTGGTGTGGTCCGGAGACGGCACACACTGTCATCCGCGCCCTCAGAGACAGAGGGGGACGAGAGCGGCAAGGCCCGGGACTCAGAGATGGGATGCAGCTCTTTGGTTTAGAAAAGATTCTCCCCCAGCCCTCCACCGGGGGAAGGAGTGGCCCTGCAACCACTCCCTGAAGAACTGCAACCCACATCTGAGCTGCCCGTAACGGGAGCGCCGCAAGCCTGGCCTTGGCGGGGCTGCGGGACCGGTACTGGCAGGGGCGCCTTCCTGCGACCACCTCCACAGCGCGGCCCGGTGCTGCTGGGGGCCGGGCGGGAGGGGGCGGAAGTCGCAGGAGGGCGCATTCGGCAGCAAGCGGACTGAGGCGTCTGAGCCGGCAGCTGGAGGCAGCAAAGCCGCCGGGTCAGACAAAATAGCCACAGTCCACTTCTGGGCGGCCGAGAACTGTTGGGCAGAGTCCTCGA